GGTGAACATAATCTAGGGACCAATATCTAAAGTTCCCTCTTGGCAAAAGTTGGAAAACTTACTAAAACTGAGCTTCTATAAGGCAATGAATATTGCGGAGGGCGTGGCTCATCACATAAAGGTGTATAACATCTCAAGGGTTTCACCCATCACCACGCAACTTTGTAGGCATATGACCACACATAATCTGAGGGGACCCCTCCATTATTGACCACATCAAACAAAATGGGGCCGCTAGAGAGCTCATTTCTTATCTAGGCCTAACCGCCATATGGATTTTTACTAAACTTGGTAGATATGTAGAACAGGACGCCTCAAGGTGACTGGAGAAATTTAACTCCAATTGGCAACTGGGTGGCGCTATAACAACAGAAAAATGCTTAAAAATGGCTAAAATGCGACAGATCACTGTGGCTCCCCCTGTGGACCAATGTTGTTGTTTTTCTAATTTTTGGTATGACTAAGTCATGGTATGGTATGCTGTACTCAATGGGTATAGACTAGTTTTCGAAGTTTTTTTTTTATAAATGTTGCCCACTACAGCCTAAAAGTACAAAGTACAATGACAGGAAAAATATTTTTTATTTAATTTACGTTCTGCAGGCAGTTTATTTTGTTAGGTTTTCTCTTTAGTAACGTTTAGTAGAAATAGAGCAGCTCAGAATACGAAAGCTTTGATCTCCCCACCCTTCCACAATTACAAAGAATAGCAGACTGTGAAAGTCTCTGTTATTCTGGGCAAACGTGCACAGCGGCCTGTTCATTGTGGATACTGCTTCCATTTGCAGCGTAGTGAACTTTCTCCAAATTGAGTCAATGTATTAACAATCTCTGCCCCTGTTTGACTGCAGAGCTCTGAATGTGTTCCTGGCATCAGCTGCCATCAGTCAGATTGTAAATTGTTGTGATGGAACAAGCACAGAGGGTTTAAAGGTGGTGCCACTGATTGCAGTCAGACGGGCCTTTATTGGTGTTTTTTTAAAGACTTTAATCTTTATTCTTAATCAACTACAAGGCTGCTCGATTGTCTCTCATATCTCACACTCTCCTGCTGCTTTTTCTTAAAACCCTCTCTCTGCTTTTCACTCCTCCCTCCCTTTGTTATATTGTTTTCTTTCAACTCCTTTCTTTCTTCACAACATTACCTCATTTATTTTTCTCTCCCTATTTGCCACCTTTTTAAATTACCATTGTCATCTCTGTTGCCTTTGCCTTCCCTCTGTTCTTCCTCCTCTCTTATCTCACCCACCATTTGCTTCTCCTCCATGTGGATCCCTTCTCTTGCCGGTCTCTTAATTGTCTTTCCTTTTAATTTCTGCCTTCCTCTTTACTCCGCAGCATTGGCGGCTCCATCCCCATTGTGTTTTCCTATTACTCTGAGTTCCTGGCCCAGGAGAAGCGAGGAGAGCATCTGAGCTGGCTCTGCATGTTCTGGATGATCGGCGGTATCTACGCCTCCGCCATGGCCTGGGCCATCATCCCACATTATGGTGAGGAAAACAAACAGATCACTCAGTCACAAAATCATTGTCTGAGGCAATATGTGTGTTAGTCAGTGAGATAAACAGCATGTCATTTTAACCATTTAATGTTACATAATTAAATGTGGAGATGAGATGCGACCGTTGTTTCTGTTTGGTGGTGGTGGTGGTTTTAAATGGCTGCAGTTTACAGAAATGCATACAACCAGAGCATTACAGTATCAGCGCAGGAGGCTCCTTGAGCACACGATTCAAGTGTTGCAGCTGCCTCTGACCCCCCTTCTCTCTCTCCCGCTCCCCACTTAGGCTGGAGTTTCCAGATGGGCTCGGCCTACCAGTTCCACAGCTGGCGTGTCTTTGTGCTGGTGTGTGCCTTCCCATCCGTGGCGGCCATCTCCGCCCTCACCACAATGCCCGAGAGCCCCCGCTTCTACCTGGAGGTCAGCCTGTCAGCTCTCACCGCACTCAGACCTTATGGAAATATCACCTGAATACGTTTTGACATCTTGGATGCATAAACAGTTTTAAAAACAGAAAGCATGCGGGCACTGTGCTGCAGACAAAACGCTACTCTCACACTTTTCCAGAATATTTTGAATAGATAAATAAAAATGTGCATATATACATCATGAAGAGGGCGAAACATACAAAATACAAGTGCTGCTGAATTTTTTATTCCTATTCAGTATATTTTGAACACTGACACACAAAAAGTAAACAGGAAGTTGGAGATGAATATGTTTTAAATTATTCATTTTTAAATGTTCAATACATGAAGGAATCTGTCACAGCTAGTATACAGTATATTGATGTCCAGTGGGCTGGGGATTTCTGCAGTCCATTACCTTCCCCATATTTCAGTAGCTCTGTTTATGTGTTACTAAACCACTGTCAGCTGTTGTAACCACAGCACATTATTCCTTGGTACGCTATTAAGCCTGATTTATGGTTGGGTGCTCGACACTTTTGAGTGTCGCTCAACAGAAATGACGTATTTTCATCAAAAGAAAATGTTGCTCGACACTTTTCTTTTATGTCGTGCACCTGGAGGATTTTGTTTATTCGTGGATGATGTCATATTTTGTCCGGCAGTAGTAGTTTTCAATCAACATCGACTTTGACCTGCATTCAGTGTCTGAGAGGACAGTGGCCGTTAGGGCTGGACGATTATGGCAAAAATAATAATCATGATTATTTTGATTGATGTTGAAATCACGATTAATAAACACGATTATTCATTGATTTCAATCATTCGATTGTGGAAAAAAATTCGAATATTCAGCCTTTTTTTCCCCCCGTTTTTTTGGGGGGACCTTGAACGCAACACCATCTCCGACAAGGAATTAGAAAGCCCAACACAGACGACTAAATTCTTTCAACAATGTGACTCAAAATAATGATAAAATAGATTTTATTGATGTTCCACCGGTCCACTGCGCTCTGAGTCTGGTGTCAGTGACACATGCTGCTCTGAGTCGTGCATCTGTCTGCTTGCGCTGCAGTGTGCGCCGAGGGTTTTAATTTTTAGTGTTAAATCAAAAGTTAAACACTATTTATCAGCAACCAGAAGTGTTTTTTCTTTTGTGAATATTTTTATCTTAATTCTAGGGTTGCAAGAAACTACCTTTTCGCCATAATTTGTAAGTTATTAACTTTTTTGGACTTTGGACAACTTGAAGCCAAAATGTTTCCAGATGACTGAAGTTGTCCTACCTTTCTTCTCAACCAAAGGCTGCCTTTCATGTTCTCAGTAACAACAATAACACATATTACTGATCCACACACGTCACACGCTTGCTGCTGCTGCACATAACACAGGTGCATTCACGGTGCTTTTCCAGCACAGGAACTTACATACACGCCGCGCCGTGCGGCACATTAATTGTTTTTCTTCGATTATAATGTTTTTATGATCGTGAGAAGCCAAAATCGAAATCATGATTAAAATTAGATTAATTGTCCAGCCCTACGGCAGACATGACAGACTACATGATGGTCCGCACCAAATGTGTGATGTCATCGGGTTATTCTTGTCCTATTTTTATTATTATTTCTATAATTTCAGTCACTGTGTCTGTTCATGTCCCAGACGAAATATTATTGTAGTGACGTAAAAAGCTCCACTAGATGCCAGGAGCTACATTTGAAGCACCACATGTAAACAGTGCGAGTCACTGAATCCTCCACAAGTTCCTGCAAATTTTTCACAATAAAAGCCTGTTTAGAAAATGAAGGGATTCTCTCAACCCAAATTATAATGGGCTTTTGATTTTAAACAGATACAGGAAGTGTTGAGTTTGAAATGACGGCACGATGCATTAACTTTATCTAGAAAAACACGAGCAGATTAAAATATAAATATGAAAATACAGAGGAAATAATAAATAATGGCCTGTGTCTAATGTATTCTGAGTCAAATCTTCTGTTGAAATGTTGTGAGGTTTCCCAGGCGTGACGTCGATTGTCCTCTACTATGATACACTACACGAGATGAAACGATGGATTATCACACACACTACTCACGATCCGAGCTGACACCGTACGACGCTGCATCGGGCTATAATCAGGCTGATATCGTGTAGTGTGTACCCAGCATTACTTATAGAGATGTACCGATTTTTCCTTCTCGATACCGATTCCGATTCCTGAACCTTAGGTATCTGCTGATACTGAGTACTGATCCGATACCAGCGTGTAAAATAAAAATGGATGGGATATGAATTGTTGTATGTCTCAACTCCTGAATCTCTATGTAAAATATTAAGAAATAAATACATAATAGTAGAATGAATGCCATATAACTTTTTATTATTATTATTATCCAGTGTTGACACAGCTCAAGACACAGGTTAAAGTGCAGCCACACAATTTGGTAAAAAAGACATTTTAAAGGCTACAGTAGAATGCTTTTTAAACTCAGCTCCGTTTCCGTTTAGTTTGCCTGTAGCGTGCGTATGCGTAATGACGTGTTTTCGGATTGGTCATAGGCTGTACTCGCCGATACCCGATACCGCATTTTAGGCAGTATTGGAATCATTTCCGATACTGGTATCAGTACAGCTCTAATTACTTAACATGACAGCAATACACTCTGACTGTAAGAAAAGAAGGGTGTCTCTGGTTACCATGGAGACAACTTAAAACCTTTCACTGAAGCTTAAACTGAAAACAACGTGCAGCTGTATCTTCTCATTTAACTGCTGATAAGAAAACGAATACGCTTTGCCAAGTCAAACTGTTCCTTTAAGCAATTACACTACATCTGCACCAGTGAAACATCATGCATGTGAAGCAGAAATGGCTGAATAAAATTAATGTTTTTATTTAAACAGGGCGAAGCTGTGTCAGCGTTTTTCCATCTTCATTTTGACCTTGAAAAAATGGCAGTGCATGGGAACATTTTTCCCTAATTGGCTGCTGAATGTTGAACAATTAATTGAAGTGAATGTTCAAAGATTTTCAACAGATGTAAAATTTGAGGAATTGTTTCTCCAAATGTTTTGTGACGTTGTCACATCACACATCTTACAAGGGATTGATTATTGAATCAAAGCATCACTCTTGTACCAAATCTCATACCAGAAAAGACAGAGGCTTCACGAACTATAGCAAACTGTGAGGAGGTGTTAAGATATTGAGTGTGACGTGAGGTTTGCACCACTCACAGGAAACCCTTCGCCCTCCCTCTCTACTGTGGTTTGTGACTAACATGTAAATGTGTTTCTCACCTGCAGAATGGGAAACACGACGAGGCGTGGATGATTCTGAAGCAGGTCCATGACACCAACATGAGGGCCAAGGGTTACCCAGAGAGGGTCTTCTCTGTAAGTCACACACAGGAATCTTATGCTTTACACTTGTGTCTGTACGCAGGAGAAAATGTCTTCACACAGTGCGTGTGTTCCTGTCTGCAGGCTAATACAGTGCAGCAGGTTTTTGAGCTCTTTGCTGCATAAATTTGCATATTAATTAAGTTAAACAGATTTTCTTTAAATGCTTGGAGCCACACAGTTCATATTAATACTTCAATGAAACATGGTGACAAAAATACCTTATAACTTCTTCTTATCAGATATATATATCATAGTGTTAATGGTAAGGCAGATCAGGTGCATACATTGATTTTGAATAACATGGAATAATGTTAATTTGGGAAGAACATTAATTGTACTGATCATTTGTAATATATTAGAGCAAAGGTTTACAAATTAATCTGTGAGAAAAGACAGAACAATCAATGAATTTAGGATTTGTGGGCCTGATATCACATGCTGAGTATCCATGTGAAAGCTTGTTATTCACTCACACATGTATATTTTTTAATGACTAGTGTGTAATTTAGATTTCAATAAAGATTTTGATTGAAGCCCTTCCCGAAAAATATGTGTGTAAAGTACGTTGAAGAGGAACACATTTAACAATCAGTAAAGATGTAATTAAAATCTAAATATTGAATGATTCCCAGGTGACCACCATTAAAACAGTGAAGCAGATGGATGAGCTGGTGGACCTGGGCGATGGAGCCGCCTGGCATCAGAAATGGAGGATAAAGCTCACGACACTTTTCCATCAGGTGACACTATTCCCCTGATTTTACTGTTTGATATTTAATATTACCTGTATAGTGGAACAAAGCAACACATCTGGAGCAGATCTGGACTGATAATCTGACCCATACAGATTTAAAACTCTACCCTTCAGCTTAGAGGAATACTTTCAGCGCAAAATTATCATTTGTGTATAAATTACGCACCCCGTTTTAATTGTGAAGAAAACATCGTTTGTCTTGCATGCCTCCATGGTGGGCAAAAAATTCAAAAATGTCTTGATGAATTTTAAGAACAGGGGCAGTTGTTTAACAACAGCTGAAACTAGAGATGTACCGATACCACTTTTTCCTTCCCGATACCGATTCTGATCCCTGAACCTTAGGTATCTGCCGATACTGAGTACTGATCCGATACC